GCATGAGGACTTTACCATTTTCCAAACTTTACGTTCGTGAATTATTTTCCCCCGACTTTCTATTTTTATTTTTATTTATCAATATGTAAGTATTTTAGCAAAATGTATGGGCTTGCAAAATATATTTCTCAATATATAAGTGTAAAAATAAAGTGAAACCAGATCATGGGGCACCTGATCCAACCCGCACGGACCATGATTTCTGGCCTGGTGTAAAACTCGTGTCAGGTGCGGGACAGATTTATGACTCGCGGACCAACCCGATGACCCAAAACAAAATGATAAATTTCATTCTTGCAGCTTTATCCTGAGCCCAGAAATCATTTACATCGTGCGGCCTACAAATCGTCACAGCCCAGTAAGCAATAGGCCCGCGCACTCCACGTCACGTCTCGTCTCCGCAGTCCGCTCGTTTTTTTTCTATTGCCTCTTCGAATACAAAACTTACAAAAGCAACTCAACGCAGGCACTCACACCACAGGTAAGCTAGATCTACAACTTATATCTAAGTCTATAAAATACACGGCTGAGAGATATGACAATTCGTGACCCATCCGTTCGAACTACCTAAGGCCTCGTTCGCTTCACGGGGAATGAGCCCCCGGAAGAATTCCGGCCCGGAACCATTCATTAATTTATATAAGATTTTCATATCCGGAATACTTCCTCCCATAATATTGACTAACCGAACGGAGCCTAAAGGGAACTAAATCCCGGTGAGCGCCAGCGTTTGAACACCGGTGAGCAGGCGGCACACCGCAAGCCGTTGCCATCCGAGCTAAAGCTCGGTCTCTGCAGTCCGCTCGTTGACACAATCACGCATGGCCCCTTTTCCCTCGTGATGTAAACGGATTGGATACAAATATCATTTATATTACATTTGATTTTATATTTTTATTTAGATTCGGATTCGAATCAAATATGGATAGTGTCAGCTATGTAGGATAGGATATGATTGGATATCGACATCATAAATATATGATTTAAGTATTCGAATACAGATATGTTATCAGATGTTAAATATTCAAACTTAGATATGTAAAGATATGAACTCAAATTCAGGGCTCCTCTCTCTCCTCTGTCTTTATTAACCAAACGCCCCTTTTCGTCTACATACAACATACTTTCCCCTCAAATTCACGTCACGAAGTCAGCAGCCTGTTCGGTTGGCTGATTCGTATCGTTGCTGATTCGTTTATGTGAAAGAGAAGTAATGTTGGCTGGTTCATATGAACAGTGTCCATGAGAGGGGGCTGGCCAGCCCAGCCAGCCAGCCCTAGGCGAACACGCTGCAAATGTAAACTTTCCTCTCAAATTTATGGCGGAAAGTAATAATATGCAAAGATTCCCTTTAAATTAGGAAAGCAATAACTGAACAACTCACTCCTTCCCAATCAACGAGGGGTCATGCGGTATTTTGCTATGCTCCTTATCTTTTTTATCTAAGAATCGTTTGGATTCATTATATTTTAGAATAAAGGGAACAGTTATTAGCCCAACTAGTAAACAAGGTTAATAGTTCATTGCTAACTTTTTTTATATATATATATATATATATATATATATATATATATATATATTCATGTTCACTGCTCCAGTTCACAGCTCCAGCACACACCCATGCTCCTTCCTTACCTGATTGCCTTGCACAGCACTCCGCAACGGCGCAACCAACGTGCGTGCAGCGACCAGACTAAGAGGGTGTTTGGTTCACCTAGCAACTCCTAAATTTAGTCCCATTTAATCACTTTTTTGATAAACATTTTGACTAGATGGGACTAAATGGCATTTAGCCAACTAGTCACCCAAAACTTACTAAAAATGACTAAAAGCCCACCCTAGACCGAGCGCCAACCCTATCCCGTGGCCGGGCTCGTCCCCGCGCTCGCTGCTGCCTGTGGCCGTCGCCACCCGCTCAGTCGCTCGCCACACCACCCGCCCAGCCGCCGGTGCTCAGCCGCTCGCCGCACCACCCACCCAGCCACCCAGGGACGGACCCACAGGGTATGCTGGGGGGGCCACCGCATACCCTGGGGTCCGCCAGTCATAGAGATAGGTAGAAATTTTCAATGTAAAAAAAATAAAAAAAGGAAACGATCGGCGCTTTGGCTTCCATCCTGGACTCTCGGTTCCACGATCTCGCTAGCACCTAGCAGGTGCGGACTCCGCGGACGGAGTAACTGTTGGGCGGCGCTGTGACACATCTCGAATTCTCGATCGAGGACGAGGAGAACTGGAGAAGCCGAGAAGACAACTAGACGGGAGAGTTGGAGACGGTGACGACCGACGGCGATCCGCGGGATTTCCTGGCCGCAAGTCCGCGACGATCTGCTCCTGCCTGGCTCCTTCAGGGCGACGCCGCGACGGGAAAGGGGAAGCCGCGAGCCCGCGACGATCCGGCGCGAGGTGGCGACGGCGATTTGCTCGGCTCCTCAGGGCGACGCGCGGCGCGAGGTCCAGAACTCCAGCAAGTTCATCACCACCGGTCGGTAAGTTCCAAAGTCCAAACATGAGTCAATAACTCAATATCGCATGTGACTATACTATTTGAGTTTCGCACGTTTGGTAATTATAAACTATTTTTTAGAAGAATTGTTGAATGATGAAGAGAAACTGCGACATTCGATCCTTTTTTTCTTTCAAGTTGATGAAGATGATATAATTAAGACATTCATGTCATTGAGAAAGCGACGGATCAACAACAAATATTGTAAGTCTCTTATATGGCTATATTTTAAAGTATTTTGTATTTCATTTGAACATTTATATGGTTTTAGAATATGGTTTTACCAAATGAGAATATAATTTTACCAAATTATATATGGTTTACCGAATTGCATTAGAAACCTAGGTCCGTCACTGCTGCTCATACCCAGAGGTAAAAACCTAGGTCCGTCACTGCAGCCACCGGTACTCACCACTCGCCGCACCACCGGCACCACATGCACGCACGACGAAGCCCTGGCGCCGCCACCGCCCACGGCCCTTGCTCACCGTGGCGGTCGCACGCGCTGGGGGCGGGACGGCGCCGGATCTCGCCGAAGCTTATCGAGCCGGCCGCGCGCGCTAGGGACGGGGCTCACCGGATCTCGCGCGTCAAGCTCATCTTGACTGGATCTCGCTGGAGCTCATCGGCAGGCAGGCAAACACTTCTTCCTCCCCTTCTCTGCCGGTTGGTTATCCGTCCTCCCCTTCTCTATCGACCGGTGGTCCTTCCTCCCCTTCCCTGCCGGCCAAATGCTAGGGGCAGGAGCTTAGGGCCGTTTTGGTCATCCTAAATATGCACATGTCAGGTTTAGTCCCAATTAGTCACCAAACCAAACACGCTAAATTTTAGGAAGTAGTTTAGCTATCTAATTTTAAGAGCTGGAAACTAAACATGGCCTAATTGGCGAACGGTCATAGGACTCGAATCCGGCGATCAATTTTCATAAACTTTCTTTTTTTTAGGAAAAACAAATCCCCACGCTTTTCATTTTTCATAGCTGTGCAGCGCGCCCACTTCCCTCCCCGAGGCTGACACCAGCACTAGCACGGAAAAAGCAAAATATTTATTTTAAAATACTATAACCTCTGAACGGTGTATCCATTTTAAATTTCGTATCGGTGTGTTCTACTCGACGAGACAAACAAAACTAGACCACACTTACATATGTTTCGAAGAATTTTTTTTCTAATAACGAATTATGTGTTATAACTTGTACATGTAACTTATAACATATAACTTATACTAAAAACTTGAAAACTCAAGAGTATAAAACACAACTTATTTAAAAAGTTATTAAACATAAAGAAACGAATTAACTTATAATTTATGCAAAAACTTACAAACATAAAAGTTGTTAACACATAAATGAATTAATTAATTATATAAAAACTTAGAAACACAAAAATTATGAAACAAGTACAAAAGTTATCAAACATAGATTTTATACATGTTATTATATATAACTTATGTACATAAGTTATTTAATATAACTTGTGCATAAGTTATACCACAAGTTATAGGTTATAAGTTAATACACATAAATTTTTATTAGAAAAAAATATTTGAAACATATTCAAAGTGCGGTCTAGTTTTGTTCGGCTCGTCGCGTAGAATACAACGGTACAGACGAAACTAAAAATAAATATACCATTTAGAAGTTATAGTATTTAAAAATAAATGATTTGATTTTTTAAATTGACGTGAGCATGAGATTAGGCAGGCGCGCGCTTCTGTGCACGCGCGTCTCATACTGTTCGCCGAGGAGCGAATGGATGAACAACCGCGGGATTAGTAGTCTGTTCGTTTGGTTGTGGCTTGTCGTAAACGATAGTAAATTTTTAGCTGGAACAGTATTTTTCTCTCACATAAACGAACCAGTAATACTTTTTCACGAATCAGCCATGAAATGAACCAGCCAACCGAACACACTGCAGATTTGGATGCGTGCAGTCGCCTCATACAGTGAAAACGCCGCTCTTCCGGCACGCAAACCCTTGCCCGCACGACACAATCCTGCCGAGTTGACCGCACGGTGAAAATGCGACCAGAGCCTCGCGCGCGCTGCACGCAACCCCGCTGTCTGTGACCCCGAGCCCACGTTGGCAAGCTCGCCGAGGTCCGAGCGCGTCGCCGCACGGCCGCACCGCCCTGGACGGGTCGGTCCCGCCCGCCGCGCCGCCGTGCTCTGTTCTGCTGACCTGCTCCGCTCCGCTCCCCTCCCCTCCCCGGACGGACGGACGGACGGACACGCCAGGACATGGAACGCGCTGGCTACAGTCTCCTCTCGTACACTCGCTGTCTCCTCCTCACACTCCCCGTGCACCATTTATTTCACTCCTCACTCCCCTCTCTCTCTCTTCCCCGACACGGAAGTCACTGTCCTCCTGTCCCAGTGTCTCCCACCGCACACTCCCCTGCGCCACCTTTTCTTTTCACGGCTTCCCACAGCAGCCCGGGCTCCCATTCCAAAACCTCACTCGCGAACCCCAAGAACTCCAGTCCAGCGACGGCAATGGCGATGGCGGCGGAGGGCGGCGCGGCGAGCGAGCCGGAGCTGGTATCGATCCCGGCGACGCCGCACGGCCTGTCGACGCCGGAGGGCGCGGCGACGCCGACCGGAGCCGGTGGGGGAGGTGGCGGGAGGAGCAAGGGCTCCGGGACCCCCGGGCGTCGCGTGGTGGAGGGCCTGCGCGGGTACCTGGAGGACGTGGGCCACCTCACGCGCCTCGACCCGCGCGACGCCTGGCTGCCCGTCACCGAGAGCCGCGGCGGCAACGCCCGCTACGCCGCCTTCCACTCCCTCAACGCCGCCCTCGGCTTCCAGGCGCTCCTCCTCCCGCTCGCCTTCCCGGGCCTCGGATGGTAACCAAGCAGCAATCACTGCTTCTGCCCGCCTCCATTGCTTATTTCAAGTTACTCATTGTTGCTGCTGCTAATCTGCTATGCTTTCTCTGCTTTTGTTAATGGCGCCTTGATTATTCTGATAAGTGACAGGGTGAGTGTCATTGGCCTGATTGGCCAATCCAGGTTTAAAAATCTGTCGCCCGGGGGAGAGGCTTTGATGATGTTGCTTGGTGTGTTTCAAGCTCTTTTTTTCAGTTCTTATTATACACTTGTGTTGACCCTGCCCGTGTCAATGCCTCTCAACTTGGGCACAAACCATTTTGATTGCTGAATTTGGGTGAGATGGCCCAATTCTCACTCCACGTCTGTCCAAAATACCAAACACAGAGACCTATTAGTAAGACCGATCCGGGGGACACATAGCCCTGTTCGTTTGAACTTATCATGGTACAGTGTTTTTCTCTCACGACAAATCAGCGAACCGTACTTTTCAGCGAAGTGGACAGGGCGAATTTGCTAATGTCTTCTTTTTTTCACTCTTCAAATTTGTTGTCTGGTAAACGTTTGCTACATTTAGTTATAATTCAGGTTGGTAAAATTAGAGGCTTCATTCAGTTTTTGCCAGAGATAAAGATTCGAAAATTTTCAAATCAGAATCAAAACCACTATTCTTATAAGAAATCACAGTATAAATCTCATATGTTCATGGACTATTTTGGTTTCGTCTTTTTTTTCCTTCTCTGATTTGAAGTTTGTTGAATTGTTTAAGCATAGCATGTGTAACTTAGAATAAATAAAATGTGCAGTACTTGCAACTAATTCGTAAGATTATACTTTCTTTATTGCAACTGAAAAAGAAAAAAAATCTTGTTCTCATTTTTAACTATTGGTTGTGGCGTCCAGTTGAACTGGGTTTCAACATTCTCAGCCAATTTCTTTGAAGTATTCAATGTCCCTAAATTATCATACCCTGAAGTTTAGAACCATTTCTGACATATCACTGTTTATGACTGTTTGGACTGCAGGAGCTGGGGGATAATTTCATTGACTATTGCTTATTTCTGGCAACTGTACACGCTCTGGATCCTAGTCAAGCTTCATGAGGCTGTGCCAGGCAGGAGGTACAACAGATATGTGGAGCTTGCACAGGCTGCATTTGGTGAGACATTCTCTCAACTATTTTTGCCAGCTCATGACAATTACTTCTGATTCCTAGATTCATGAATGCCACTGACATGTCTCCAATATGTATAAATGGGTGCAAGGACTGTATGTCGCCACTGTCCAATTATTATCTCTGTCATATTGGCTGGAAAGAATCTATTGACAGTGTCTTGCTGCTTCCAAATAAGAGGTGGAGCGTGACTGATGGGGTAGTGCCAGGCTAATCTAGGAACGCTCTTTTGTTATCTTCGCATCCAGATCATGATGATCTGGAGCTGCTTCTTCTGTCAGATAACATATCGCTCTCATGCCATTCGTTACAGTACTGCAGAAATATGTTACGTTTTGCTATTAGTGGAATCCTATGATCCTTCGACAGTATCGAACTAGTGCATTATCTACTTGGAATTATTATTGCTTCTGGTTGCACTAAACTGAGAACATGCAATGCAGCTAGATTCTCTGTTGATCTATTTCATTGATAGCTACATAATTCAAATCACAGGACAGAAAAGGATTTCCACCAATTATATACTGACTAATATACATTGTTCATGCAGGAGAAAAACTGGGAATGTGGCTGGCTCTTTTCCCGACTATTTATCTCTCGGCAGGCACCGCCACTGCGTTGATCCTTGTTGGAGGGGAGACCATGAAGCTGTTCTTCCAAATAGTGTGTGGCCCACTCTGCTCACCGAATCCCATTACGACGGTCGAGTGGTACTTGGTGTTCACTTCCTTGGCAGTAATTCTTTCCCAACTTCCAAATCTCAATTCAATCGCTGGTCTTTCACTCATCGGTGGGGCGACCGCGATAATGTACTGTACCATGTCGTGGGTTCTCTCTGTCAGCCAACCACGACCACCAACAGTATCTTATGACCCAGTGACATCCAATTCTTTTGGTATATCCCTATTCTCAACCTTGAATGCCCTTGGGATAATAGCGTTTGCCTTCAGAGGGCACAATCTTGCTCTGGAAATACAGGTCAGTATAATTTATCGTTTGATGAATTATTGGCTCGGAGCCTCTTTCTATCATCAGTAACATCATTTGGTAACTTCATGTCTTCACGTGTGTGAATTGTCATTGAAATTTTGCAGGCGACAATGCCATCGACTTTCAAACATCCAGCACATGTGCCAATGTGGCGCGGGGCCAAAGTAGCGTATCTCCTGATTGCAATGTGCCTCTTCCCCGTCGCCGTTGGAGGCTACTGGGCCTACGGAAACATGGCAAGTACTTCATGATGCTTACTTAGCTCATCAGACTAATCATGACTTCATTGTGCTGCAACTAATGATCCCTGGACTGTTGTGCTCGTACTCATGGCACGCCCTGCAGATGCCACCAGGAGGGATGCTGGCGGCACTCTACGCCTTCCACAGCCATGACATCCCGCGGGGCCTCCTCGCGACGACATGCCTCCTCGTCGTTCTCAACTGCCTCAGCAGCTTCCAGATCTACTCCATGCCGGTGTTCGACAGCTTCGAGGCCTACTACACCGGCCGCACCAACCGCCCGTGCTCGGCATGGGTGCGGTCAGGATTCAGGGTCTTCTACGGGTTCCTCTCGCTGTTCATCAGCGTGGCCCTGCCATTCCTCTCCAGCCTCGCCGGGCTGCTGGGCGGGCTCACCCTGCCTGTGACCTTCGCCTACCCGTGCTTCATGTGGATCCGCGTCAAGAAGCCCGAGAGGTTCAGCTTCAGCTGGTACCTCAACTGGGGCCTTGGGCTGCTCGGCACAGCGTTCAGCCTGGCGTTCTCGCTGGGTGGCGTCTGGAGCATCGTCAACAATGGGATGAAGCTCAAGTTCTTCAAGCCTAACTAGGTATATAGATTGCTTGCTTGCTCCAATCTGCAAGTTATTAGAAGAAATTAGTTGTGGAACTGAATGTTACATATTACTACTTGCATAGTTATGCTGCGTAACTACTACGTTGCCTTGGTACGAACAATGGCATGTATGTAACGTAAGTGATGTCTGAGAAATTCGAAATCTAAGGGGCTTTGTGTATATAGTATATTTTCAGTGTATCTTGCACGTAGAAAATCGTCAGTAATTTGAGGACTTCATCAGCATCACGTTCGACACTTTGTACAAAACGAACAAGCAGAACATACAAGAGGCAATCATACCCGTTATGAATTGGGTCCTGGGGCTCTGACCACGCAGGTCCTCTGGGGAGCTTGTTGATGGCATTGTGCTGCAGCCTCTGGTCCCGGGCAGATTCGTGTGGAGTGGAGGTGGTCCTAGAATGGTGAGTACTCTGCCTCATCGACTTATAGGGCCTTTTTTTTTCCACACCGCATTCATGGAATGTTCGCTTGTTGGTTTCAGTCAGCCAACAATGTTTTTCTCTCGTAACAAACCAGCACCAGCTGGGTTTATCAGTTCAGAAACCAACCAGCAAATAGGCTGTATTGTGGCCAGCTGCACCTCCCCAAGTTAAATTTTTCTTTTGGCTCTGGACAGTGAAAAGATGTCATAGACATGGGCTTTGTTTAGTCGTAGGATGTTTGACACATGTATGAAGTATTAAATATAGATTAAAAAAATAACTAATTGCATAAATTGCAACTAATTTGCGAGACGAATTTTTTAAGCCTAATTAGTCCATGATTTGATAATATGATGCTACATTAAAGCTACGGAATTTATTTAATTAAGCTTAATAAATTCGTATCAATTCGTATCGTAGAGTATGATGACTTCTATAATTTATTTTATTATTACTATCTAAATACTCTTCTGTGATACTTTGATGTGATAGCTCTAAACTTTAGTCTCTAGATTTAAACACTACTGTGGCTTGCAAGCCAATTTCTCATGCGCCTTGTGTGATGGCTTCTCCGGTCGCTCGGTCTTGCCCTCGTGGGACGCCGGGACGGTCAGACTGGTGGCTTGGTGGTTGCTTAAGAGAGAAGGGTTGCAGTCTGAAGTGCAGAAAGGGTTCGACTCTGTAGTGTTGCTAGTTACGTGGCATGTTTGGCGCGACCGCGCGAGCGGAATCGGCGAGTGTTCCAGGGGATCGCGTCTTTGCCGGTGGCCTTAGTATTCTCACAGAACGACCTTTGGGTGGAAGATGGGTCATATACACAACCACTTATGTTCAAAGTCCTTTTTTCGAATGATTGGGTGGAAGTTGTAATCATGCACCCAACCACCCATACCCATGTGTCAAGTCCTCTCCTTGACTAAATTTAGGTGCATATTTCTTCTCTTAATGAAAAATCATTTGGATCTTGTTTTTTAGCACCTCGCAATACTTCTAAGTGTTTGTTGAAGGGCTAGCGCCTGATCGGCGTGTCCAGACGCACCTCCCGTGTCCCGCATGCATGCCATCCCGCGCCGGTGTCCCGCGACCTTGACACCGCACTGTCGCTGTAACACCCTCGGTGTTACATTGTACTGTTTTTGCAAAACACTGCATGAGCATCTTACTTGTATGTGAATGTGTGTAATCTAGGGTATAAATCAATTTTGGAAATTGAAACGTTCATTTGAAACGTGAACCGAATGATACATGGTATGTCACGTTGTATCGCTTAGGCGGGGAATTACTCGCGGCCGGGATCAAGAGTCACTAGCTAGCTTAGTGGGTAGCTTGGAAACCGAAAGTGACGCGAATCCGAACGAATGACGTAGTCGTTTCTGAAGTCGGAGGGTGTGTCGACGAGGCATAGTTCGAACATTTTTAGGGGAGGATCGGCTTAAGAAGTGGCGAGGTGTTTTAGATTAGTTTGATAGCCCTATATACCATCTGGAGCGTAGAACAACTGGTTTGGTGTTTGGGGCATTGGGTTTGAGTTTTTGAGCCACTTTAAAAAGCGTGCACGGCACATTGTCCATCTCCGGGCGCGGTCACCACCTCGACTCGGCCTAGCACCGCCTGAATGCTGCCTCTTCCATCACATCCGCCTGCGCCACTGCCCGACGTCGCGCTTGCTTGCGTGTTCGGCTCGTCTGAACCAATGTCGCCACTCTCCCGAGCACGCTCGCGCGCACCGCCTGCACGGCCTTCACTGCTTCCGTTGACGCAATGCAGCTGCACGCGCGTGGGACGGCTGCCTCACTGTGCCTTCACGTCCGTGTCCGCTGCTACACTCAGCGCCGGGCCGAGCCGTCCTAACTTCCCTATTTCACAGTCGTCGTGTCGCGGAGCTTCGGTCGCGCGCCGGAATGCCGAACTCGTGCGCACGTCTGAGGGTCGCGATGATGTCCTGCGTCATGCCAAGCCCGCTGATGTGCAGTCATACGTTGTCAGGGGCCTCAGTTGGAGTTTTCCCCGCCGTCGAATCCATTTAGCCGAACACCGTTGCTCACCAAATTGGCCGAGGTGCAGTCCATCCCTTTCCAATTCACCGTGCGTCTAAATAGCTAGAGTGGTTAGGTTCCTATTGGAGTCATCTCGACGAGTTTACGTCCTACAGTGAGGTAATGGGGAGAATTTCCCCTCGGCGGGCCACCATGGCCGGCGAGACGAGTTCTCAGCCAGGGTACTGCTTCTTGCTCTTTTGTTTCAATCGAGCACGGTTGTTGCCTCCCCTTGACTCGTTTGCCTTGCCGTGCAGTGGCTCCGCTGACGGTGCTGCACGTAGCCGGGGAAGTCTTCTCCGCGGCTGGCGGAACCGAGCAACCTCATGCAAACAGAGCAGCCGACGGTGCGTACTGTTGCTCTTAGCTTGTTGATGTCATCTCTGCGTCACACATGTTATAGGGCCGCTTTCTTGTAGAAAAATAAATCCGTGAATACATTAGAAATACGCCCACTGCTCTGTTCGCCTGGGCCAGCTCGCGCCCGCGGTCTACGCTCCCGTCTGGGCCAACTCGCGTCCGCGCCCGCCTGCTGGGCCGCGCTAGCGCCCGCGCCCCCGCCGTGGGCCGGCCTGCTGCCGCGCCGGGCTGCGCTCATGTCGCGTCCGCGCCCGCTGCCTGCTAGGCCGCTCTCGCACGCCCGCCACTTACTGGGCCGCTCGCGCGCGCCCCGCCCGTCTTGCCGCTCACGCGTGCGCCCCGCCTTGCTGGCCGAGCCGCGTGCGGGTTGGGCCACGCTGTGAATTTGTTTTTCAATTTCCAGCGAATTACAAATGTTTATTCAATATAGTTTCTAGCTGAACTTTGATAAATTATAGTAAATTATGTGGTTGTCCAAAAATAGTGAAACTAAGTTTGTTAGGTTCACAAAAATGTCATCTATGTGTTAGTGTAGTTAGTTTACAGTTACCTATGATAGTAATGGGCTCATAAATCAAAACTAGAGAGCTTAGTATTATATAGATTAATATTTGTAGAAATTTTTATGGGAAATTGGTGATAGCTATAGCTATGAAAATTTTACAGTAGACTCACTAGGTTATTCTGTACTTGCTGTAAATTTTGTAGCCCTATAGTAGGATAATAAATAGAGTAGCCATTATCCTTGCTTTATCATATATAACGTAAATCAACATTAGGAGTAAGAATACCTGTAGTTGCTATAATAATAATGAATGTCATATTTCAAACTTGTTGTCGGTAACAAGAGATAGCTTAGTACCGTGGTCGGTAGCACTAGCTTAGTAGTTAGACAGATGTATTTTTGTTTTAAGAGCTGCTGTTGCTATATTACTAAGTATTGCATCGTCATGTCATGCATATAGATCACGAGTTGGTTGAGTTCATACCCGTCGATGAACCGGAGTACGAGGTCATCGAGGAGTATGAGGAGGAGATACTCGTGCAAGAGGGAGCCCCGGAGCCTGTTGGTGCTGACCTTACTGACCCGTCGCCTGCCCAAGGTAAGCCCCGGTGCATAACCCTTATTTTAAATGATCACTGAATATATATCTATGATGTGTATTTACGTTATAGGCATTTTATAGAAACTATATGCATAAATATATCTACCTATGAGTCCTACTAGTATAGGTTGAGTAGCTGCTATGCTCAGAATATCGGTAGCGTGAGTAACCTATCATTACTCACAAGTAGGTGATAAAGATGATCATTCATGACAAAATGGTGGAAAGGAAAATGGTGACCAGACAGGGATATGGTTTTGGTATTGGTGGGTGTAAGGGGTTGTGTCCTGCGGCCAATAGGGCATGGCTTGGTTACACTTTTTCCCTACCTGTGTCGATTAAGGACCGGTCGTTGCATAAGGCATCGTGGGCAAGTCACAGGTTTATTCTACTCGAGCGCATACTTGGGTATGGGCGCAGGGAAGACTTGTTGCTCTCTTATCGCGGATCCGGCTCTTTTCGGACCGACTGATTGGAGGCGGAGATGGTGGAGGTCCTTGCACCACACTGAGTCCGGGACTCAGGAGTGGGGGCTTGGAGTCCAAGTTTGGATGAGGACCTGGACACCCGGAACAAGAGAGTGATGGGTTAGTCCTGCTTGTGCCTAGGGTACAAGCGGGGCGTGTGTTTTCGGGGCACCCAGCTGGGCACATTGATTCGCGAATCGCTGGGCGATCCGATACGGCTTGTCTCGTGTTTAGCACCGTAGTAAGAACTAAAAGTTGAAAGAAGAATAAATGGAACTGATTGCTCAACTCTTGCTTGAAAGTAGAACAGGTGCTTATATAGACTGGATAGATAATAACTTAATACGGCTGATAATAATAACATAAATAAGGACTCACTATTAGTATTGCTTTCTGCTAAAAGAAAACCAGTAAACCATAAAGCTTATCATATTCCTTGGAGTCAGGAAATTATTCCCACTAGTCGGATAAGTCTTGCGAGTATATTGTGTACTCAGGGTTTATTTACCCCTGTTGCAGGTAATGCATGAGAAGTATTGTCGATGTTTCACCACCGATAGCCTGCCATGGGGGTACCCGG